TGGCTTCAGGAGCCACTGGGTGTGCAGCCTCACCAGCATATCAGAGAGTTCTAAGAGACCCTGCTCTTCCGACTAGTTACAGCCAACCCCTAGGGCTGGCCTGGGGCCATAGGGTTGGGGAAGAAAATAATAAAAGCCAAGGTATGTGTGAGATGGGTGCTTTTAGATGCTTTGAATTCCTACTCAGGTAAACTACTCCCACAGGGTTTAACCTCCCCTGAAACAAGGAGCCCATAGACTGCTGGGTCTTTTGCCCCAGGAACTGCTACAGAGATTTGCTGTCTTTTACGACCTGGTGCTTAACTGTTGTCACCTGGACTATGAGAACCAAACCAAACCCATTGCCACTGAGTCAATCCTGACAGGGCAGTACTGCCCATGTGGATTTCTGAGACGTGTAACTCTTTAGGAGAGTAGAAAGCCTCATTTTTCTTCTGCAGAACAGCTGGTGGTGTCGAACTGCTGACCTTATGTTGAGCAACCCAACACATAAAGGGCTATGAGAAGTGAATAGCTACCCATTCATTCCTCTGTTCAAATAATACTGTGTCAGTTATGTCCCCAAAGAACATCAGCCGCCACACAATGCCTTTGCCCATCTTCGCCCATGTTCTCACTCCCAGCTGAGAGGAGCCCACAGCTACTTGTTCATGACTGTGCCCCAAGTCTCTCAGTATTGGCACTCATAGTAGTTCAAACAAATGAATAAGCAGTGCCTGTTTATTTCTCACCACAAGCCAATAAGTATTCAGTACCACTGGGCAACAGTGCACTGCCATCGAGTTGCTTCGGACGCACAGTGATCCTACAGGACAGGGTAGAACTGCCCCTTTGGGTTTCAGAGACTATGGGAGGAGACAATCTCCTCTTTCTCCCTCGGAGTGATTGCTGGGTTCACACCTTCAGGTTAGCAGTTCAGTGCATAGCCCACTATGCCACCAGGGCTCCTTTAAGGGTAATTGTTGCCCCTATTTTACAGAGAAAGTGAGGGTCCGAGAAGCAGCTTCCCAAGATCCCATAGCTAGTAACTGAAACTCAACAGTGGACCTTTCACTTGCTTACTCCCAGAACTACACTAACCAGCTCTATTGATGACTCACCCCCCACCCCAGGCACACACACCTGCCCCAGAGGAGCTGGGAGGTGGGGGGATGGTGAGATAGTGTGGAAGCCCAGAAAGGTAAGATTGGGATTGTTGACAGCTGCCTCTCGGGGATTGTAGGGTTTTGGCAGCTTCTGGGAAATTCGAGGTGATTGCTTCAGCGTCTGGCTTATCTGGGGCTGCACTTGGAAGGGAATGTGTAAGAGACACCAAGGTGAGCATTTCGGAAGAAAAGGCGCATCCAATAAAAAGTCCCTCCTGGAGAGCAAAAAGGGATTTCCATAACCACCTGGCAGAGGGGGAGGCAGGCTGAGTGGCCCCACAGGCAAGGAGTAACAGCCAGTCTTCCTGAAAGGTGTGCAGGGCCTCTCTACCTCCACACAGGCTAGCTCCCAGGTAAGCAGTAAGCTCTGCACCAACCCAGGCCACAGACATGAGTAATCGGGGAAGTGGCATTTGATGGGTGGGGGAACGGGTATCTGATGAAGTAAGGTGATCCCAAAGCAGGTTTCTGTATTTGCTTTTTCCCAAAGCCCAGTTTAATGAGAGGGCCTGCCTATTGCTTCACCCACCTTTCAGCAGGTCTTTTAGAAAGGAGGGACAAGTATACCAAAGTCACACGGGGAGGAACGGGTGAGCTATGTCAACTCATCAAGCAGCCAGAGCTCCAACCCCAATAGAGGCCTCCCCGTTTGTCCAGGGCCATATTGTGGCAAAAGTAAACATGGAAACCACTGGTTTAAAAGCCTGCCTGCTTTGCTGACTTCTGCCCCTCCATCGACTTATAACGAAGTACAGGAAGTTAATACTGCAAGATCCCAAGCCCTCTGATAGCCCGGGTTTCTCAAGCCCCTTTGTGCTAGGAAGTAAAAAAAATACTCAGAAGCGCTGACGAACACATTTATAGTTCGGATTTTCAATATCCATTCTAGAGCCGGAAGAGAAACGGAAGGAGTGAACACAAGACTGAGATGGCAGGTTACCCATCTCCTGGGACATAGGAATGACCTCCACGACATATCACATGCCATCTGAAGTCCCCCGAGTTGGCTCAGCACCCCATTTGTGACCTTCTTTACAGACATCTGTGGACAAAAAGCTCTAAGTTCTTTGTCTTCAAACCCCCAGGAAGCAAATTCTCCACAAAGCCAAAGTTTCAACGTGGTGCTAATGTTATGTCCCTCCACTTCCCAGGTTAAGTCCGCCTCCCCAAATCCTAGCTACTTTTTAAATCAAAGCCAGTTCCCATGTTCAAACGCAAAATATGCTCATTTTACCCAGGGAGACACTTGACCTGGAGGGAGTCCGTGGTGGACAAATCCAAGGAGATTCCCCTGACCAAAAAGGCCCAAAAAAAAAGGAAAAAATAAGTTAAACACCAGGAAATCTGGTGAGTGGAAGTGGAGTCTGAGGACATAAAGGGAACTGGAACCAGCTACTCTCTGTGGTGTAGAATGGGGGCTGCCTCTCCCACCAAAGCCACCAGCCAAAGGCCCGCCCCTTCCCACCCCTCTCTACCACCATCATCACCACCTCCTCCAAGGGGCCAGCCCCCCCAGCCAACCCCTCTGCTCTCCAGGTGCACACAGAGAGGCCGCCATCTATTTGCAAAGATCCCAAACACTTTCTTTTGGAATTGTTGGAAAGAAAGAAGAAAATGGGTAAGAGGAAGAAAAAGACCGGCTTGGATCCTTGGGCAATTACTAAATTCCACTTGGGTCTTAGTTGTTGCCAATAGTTAATGGGGCCCCATCCGAGAATTAAAATAAGAAAAAATACGTATGTGAAGCCCCTGCTCTAGAATCTGGTTCAAAAGAGAGTAAGAGGCTGCTGTAAATAAATAATTGTATCATTCTGACTCTATAATATTAGTGTTCAGACAGTATAGTTTAAAAACCAGATTAAGCCACACTTCTGAAAAAAAACTCACCACCATCAAGTCGATGCTGACTCCTGGTAGCCCAATAGATCAGGGTAGAACTGCCCCTGTGAGTTTCTGAGACTAACTGCTTACGGGAGTAGAAAGCCCAATCTTTCTCCCAAAGGACAAGTAACGGCCGCACTCCACCAGAGCTCCTCTAATCCACACTTGGGACTAACCCACTGTGCTTGACTTGACTATCTTGGTGCAGAAAGGCAAAACACCTACCAAATCCAAACCCATTTTACGGCAGCAGACAGCTGGGGGTGGGGTGGGAGGGGATGCTGATGGGATCCAACTGCTAACCTTGTGGTTAGCAGCTCAGAGTAGAACCCATTAAGCCACCAGGGTTCCT